TTCCAGTAACAGGAAAGAATTCAATATACAAGTAAGCAAGGCATGCAGAACCCCAAATAGCCACAGTCAGAAAAGAACTCCATGACCATCATGGTCAAAATCCCAGAAGTTCGGGGCTGGGGATATAGCTCAGTGGCACAGTGCCTGCCTGGCAAGCACAAGGTCATGAGTTCAATTCCTGGTACTGGAAAGGAAAAAAACAAAACAAAACAAAACAAAAAAATCCCAGAAGTTCAACAGCAGGACAGAAAAGTAAAAGCTGCTAGAGAAAAGCAACAAATCACCTATAAAGGTAGACCTATTACAATTACTCAGATTTCTCAACACAAACCTTAAAGGCCAAGAGCTTGGAGTGTCCAAGCCAGTAAAAACAGAATATGCATTCTTCTGAGCCGCATACATAACCTTCTCCATGACACACCATAAAGCTTGCTTAAATATAAAAGAACTGAAATAGTCTTATACATATTATCAGATCACGGTGCAATGAAACTAGAAGTCAATGGCAAGAGAAACTACAGAAATTATGTAAATACATGGAGTTAAATATACTCTTGAATAATCAATGGGTCACGTGAATTCAGATACTTCCTAGAATCAAATGTTAATGCCAGTATAACATACCAGAACTTACGGGACAAAATAAAGGGAAGTTTATAGCTGTGAATGACTACATCAGAAAGTTAAGAATGATTCCAAGCTGGGCATTGTGGCACATGCCTGTCATCCCAGCACTTGGGAGGCTGAGGCAGGAGGATCACTGCAAGTTTGAAGCCAGCCTGGGCTACAAAGTGAGCTTAAGGCCAGCCTGAACTGCATAACAAGACCCTGTCTCGAAAAGACCAAAAAAAAAAAAAAAAAAAAAAAAGAAAATTTAGAGTGATTCCAAATAAATAACCTAATGATGCACCTCAAAACCCTAGAAAAATGCAAATCCAAAACTAGTACAAGCAAGAAACTCATAAAGATCAGAGTACAAATTAATGAAACTGAGACCCAAAAACCCAAGACAAAACCAAGAATTAATGAATCAAAGAGCTGGTTCTCCAAAAGAATAATTAAAACGGACAAACCTGTAGCCAAACTTACCAAAAGAAGGAAATATCAACGCAATTACAGTGAAAAAGGCAAAATCACAACAAACACCCCCAAATCTAGAGCCAGCACAGCCACGGCTCCTGTTCCCTAGAAGCGTCTGAAGTAGCAGCTCCCGAGCACTGGATGCTGGCTAAACTGACGGGTATATTTGTTCCTCCTTCCTCCACTGGTCCCCGCAAGCTGAGAGAATGTCTGCCCTTCATTTTCTCAAGGACCAGACTTAACTATGGCGTGTTTTTTTGGGTTATTTTTTGTCTTTTTGAGATAAGGTCTTGCTATGCAGTTCAATCTGGCCTTGAGCTCACTTTGTAGCCCAAGCTGGCCTCGAACTCTCAATGACCCTCTTACCTCAGCCACCCGAGTGCTGGGATTACAGGCGTGCGCCACCACGCCTGGCTAACTATTCCCTGACTGGCAATGAAGTGAAGATTTGCAGGCAGCACTACATTAAGATTGATGGCGAAGTCGGCACTGACATGACCTACTCTGCTGGCTTACTGGATGGCGTCAGCACTGACAAGACCGGGGAACGAATTTCCATCTGATGAACCACACCAGTGGTCCTTTGTTATTCATCACATGAGGCCTGAGGAGTGCAAGTACAAGGAAGCAAAGTAAGAAACATCTTGGCAGTCAGAGGCCTGCATCTGGTGACCCCTGATGCTCCGCCATTTGCTATGCCAACCCCTCACCAAGGCGAATGATGCCACCCAGACTGATCTGGAGGCTGGTGAGATCCCCGATTTCCTCAAGTTTGACCCTGGTAACCTGTGCCTGATGACGGGGGTGCTACCTTAGGAAGAACTGTGATCACCAACAGGGAAGGACACTTGGTTCTTTGATGTGGTTTAGATAAAAGATGGCCACAGCTTTGGCACCCAGCTCACCTTACTGGCAAAGGCAAAAAAACAGTGGATTTTTCTGCCTTGAGGAAAAGGAATCCAACTCACCACTGCTGAAGGACAGGAAGCTGGCAGCCACACAGAGCAACGGTGGGTAAAATGGGCCTCTGTACTCACAGACAATATAGCATGAGCACACACAAAGAGATAAAATAAAAGGAGGGCCAGGGATATAGCTCAGCGGCATAAGCGCCTGCCTGGCAAGCACAAGGTCCTGAGTTCGAGTCCCACTACCAAAAAAAAAATAAAAATGGGAAGGAAGGAAAGAAAACAGTAGTACTCCGAAAAAGGTCAAAGAAGACACCAGCAAATGAAGAGAAATCCTGTTCCTGGATAGGTAGACCCAGTACTGTCAGAATGGCCATATTACCAAAAGTAATATATAGATTTAATGCAATCCAAATCAAAATGCCAGGCCTGGGATATAGTTCAGTGGCACCAGCGCCTGCGTGGCAAGAGCAAGGTCCTGACTTCGATTCCCAGTACCAAGAAAACAAAAAACAACAAAAAAAAATACCAATAGCATTCTTCACAGCACTAGAAAAAAGCTACACTAAGATTAATGTGGAGCCAGAAGAGGCCCAGAATAATAAAAGAAATCCTGGGCAACAAGAGCAAAGCAGGAAACATCACAATTCTGGATCTCAAACTCTATACAAAGCTACAGTGGGTCTGGGTGTGGTGGCGCATGCCTGTAATCCCAGCACTCAGGAGACTGAGGCAGGGGTATCGCTGTGAGTTCAAGTTTAGCCTGAGTTGAAGGCCAACCTGAACTGCACAACAAGACCCTGTCTCAAAAATAAAAAAAGCTACACTGATAAAGCTGGGCATGGTGGCGCATGCCTGTAATCCCAGCACTCAGGAGGCTGAGGCAGAAGGATCACCATGAGTTTGAGGCCAGCCTGAAATACAAAGTGAGACCCTGTCACAAACAAACAAATAATCAAAGCTACAATGATTAAAAACAGCATGGTACTGGTGCAAAAACCAACATGTTGCTCAATGGAACAGAACAGAAGATGCAGAAACAACCCAGGCATGCTCAGATATCTGATCTCTGACAAAGGGGCCAAAAACATATGCTGCAGGAAAGATAGTCTCTTCCTTAAATGGTGCTGGGAAAACCAGTTATCCATATGCAGAAGATTAAATCTAGACCCATACCGCTCATGTGTACTAAACTAAAGTCAAAATGGATCCAAGACCTGGATGTTAAAACAGAAACAATCTGCTGGAATATGAAATAGGTAAACCCTCTGAAGACAAATCATAGGCAAGGACTTTTTGAACAGAATCCCCATTGCAAAAGAAGTAACACAAAGAATCCACAAATGGGATCAGGTCAAATGAAAAAGCTTCTGCACAACAAAGGAAAGCAGGGCTGGGGATTTAGCTCAGTGGCAAAGCGCCTGCCTGGCAAGCGCAAGGTCGTGAGTTCGGTTCCCTGCACTGGAGAAAAACCAAAAAAAAAAAAAAAAAACCAAAAACAAACAAACAAAAAAACAACAAAGGAAAGCAACAGAACGAAGAAGCAGCCTACAGGATGGAAAAAATTCTGCTAATGATTCCTCAGATAGGGGTAATATTTAGAATGTATCAAGAACTCAAAAAAAAAAAAAAGGAACTCAAAAAATTATGCTCCTAAAAAAAATCAAATTAAAAAGAGGCAAAGGATATGGACACTTCTTAGAAAATACAAATGGTTAATAAGTACATAATAAAATATTCACCATTTTTGGCCATTAAAGTAAATTTTTTTTTTTTTGAGACAGACTATGTAGTTCAGGCTGGCCTTGAACTCACTATGTAGTCCAGGGTTGCCTTTAACTCACGGGGATCCTCTTGCCTCAGCCTCCCAAGTGCTGGGATCACAGGCATGTGCCACGCCTGGTCAGGAAAATGTAAATTAAAACAGCACTAAGTGTCTTTATACTTCCTCAGTGGACACGGGGCAGGCCTGGCACCTACAACGCTCCTTAGCCCAAAGGGCTGGGGCCCCTTGAGCTGTCACTGCTCCAGACTGACTGTGCCTGGCTGCTTCCCCACTGAGAGCCCCTTCTGGTTGCGGGGGGTGGGAAGAGGACCACCTCCTCAATGCTTCCGAGAGTCAAACTAGGAGCCCCAGTCGGGGGGGCTGCTGCGGCTCCTCCTGCCCAGCCACCATTCCCATCTGAGAAAGGACAGGGCTCAGGCCCACCACAGCCACTGGCGCTGAGCATGGCTAGAGGCTCAGATGGCTGCGCAGCTGGAGGCAAGAGCTCCCGGACAGGCTGGGCTCCAGCAGGAGAGGCAGTGAGTGCTGCTGTGGTGGGAACATCACAGAGGAGCCTGCCAGGCAGACCCCATCCCTCTCCTGGGACCTGGGGACACTGACTGCCCAGAGGACAGCTGGTTTGCTGGGCATGGTGGTGCACACCTGCAACCCCAGCACTCCAGAGGCTGAGGCAGGAGGATCGTTGCAAGTTCAAGGCCAGCCTGGGCTACATAGTGCAAAGCCAGCCTGAACTACATAGCGAGACCCTATTTCAAAAAAACAAAAAATAAAGAACAGGGCTGGGGATTTAGCTCAGCGGCACAGCACCTGCCTGGCAAGTGTGAGACCCTGGGTTCAATTCCTGGTACCAAAAAAGAAAAAAAAAAAAACAAAAAACAACCAGCTGGCTTGCTCAGGCTTGGGGTGACATTCCCATTGGTGTGATTTTTAGTCTTAGTCTTTTGTTTGATTTCGTTTATTTTTTTGAGATGAGCTCTTACAGTGTAGTGCAAACTGGCTTCAAATTTGCAGAGATCCCTCTGCCTCAGCCTACTGAGGGCTGGAATTGCAGGCACGCATCACCACGCCCAGCAAATGAACTCTTCTGCCTGGCCTAGTTTTCCTTTCACTTTAAAGATAGGAGTAGTCTCTCATAACTGCCCCGAGACTTCAGAGGTACCTTCCCTCCACTATTAATTATGGTCCCTTGTGACCAAGGACTGAGACAAGAGAAAAGGACTATTCTCTTTGTTTTTTAGATACAATCATTTTTTTTTGTTTATTTTGTGGTGTCAGGGATTGAAGCCAGCGCCTAGAGCATGCCAGGCAACTGCTCTCCCACTTTTATTGGTCAGCTGTCAGTGCGGACCTGTCAAGGCACGACGTGGTTTCCTCCAGGGGGCTGATGGGACGAGCCTTCCAGGCGGGGCCCCCCGGCTGCCTTTAGGGCTGGGGGCTGACAGTCAGCCCCGAGCCCCAGCAGCCCGTAAGCGGTGTTGAAGAGGTTGATAGGCGTGGAGCCGTCGGTGATCAGGGTCGATTTCAGGCCCAGGGACTGCAGCAGTTTGACCTGGCAGGTGTGAGGAAAAGCAAGGTGAGATGTAATGAGACACTGATCACTCCGTTCAACCTCTGGCTGCCTCTGGTGTCACCCTCCATAAGCCACTGGCTGAGGCGCCACCTCCTCCTTCACTGTATCACCCTGCTCCCCCTGCCTCAGAGCACTTGTGGCAGACTGCTGGCCCATCTTTCTTTCTTTCTTTTTTTTCTGTCTTTTTGAGGCAGGGTCTCGCTATGCAGTTCAGGCTGGCCTTGAGCTCACTTTGTAGCCCAGGCTGGCCTCGAACTGGCAATGATCCTCCTGCCTCAGCCTCCCGAGTGCTGGGATTACAGGCGTGCGCCACCATGCCCGGCTCCTGTCCCATCTGTCTTCTATCTCCCCCAGGAGCCCCAGCTCCTTGAAGTCCAGCAGGCTGATGGACTGATACATTGACTGACCCTGATACAGTGTGACACCGCTCAAATGACAGACAGGGACCGTTTGCTCGCCCTTCCGTGACATCCAGATGCTACATTTCTCTTCTGCCTCAGCTGGTTGCAAGGCTGGCCCCAAACACACGCACAGCCCCTCTTCCCTCCCCCGACTCTCACCTGCATCTCTGGCCCGGCCACGGCCAGGTCCCTGATGGTGCTGGGACCCAGGGCCTCCGTCATCTGCGTGAACTTCTTCACCTCCACTTCCGCCAGCTGCTGGGCCTTGCTCACTTCCAGCTCCAGCTGGGCGCGGGCATAGACCAGTTCCTGCTCTCGTACTTTCTGTATCCGCTGGAGCTCAGCCTCCTGCAGGGGACAACGCTGGCCACCTCAGATCATGTGGCCCCGGGAACTGCCCAGCAAGCCACTGAAGCCACCGAGCCTGGCAGGGAGCTGCAAGCTCAGCCAGCAGGGCGCACACCTCAAGGACACCACTGAGCTGGTGACAGTGGAGCGTCTTCACCCAAGCCTTGGTCCCTCCACAGTAAGTGAGAATGAAATGTACCACAACGGGAAGTCTTTCTCCTTCTGCAGAGCTGGACATGGAGCCCAGGGCCTCATGGACACTCTACCACCAGCTATACCCCAGCCCCTCAGAGGGATTTTAAGCATGAAATAAGGCCCTGCATATAAACCACATGCACCAGGTGGCACAGAAGGGGCCAACCTCAGGGCTCACATCTGTAGAATGGGTATGATACTCTGTGCCTTTGGGGAAGGTAGAAATACATTGCTGCAGGGCAAAGAACTGCCATAAACTCAAAGCACTTGAACAGGGCTCTGGCGGAGGGCACTTGGTAGCCTATCTGCCTTCAGGGATGGTCACGCCCTTCCCAAGTGACCCCTCTGCTCTCACCGTCTCAATGGCCAGGGCCTGTGCCTTCAACTTGGCCTGCAGCACAGAACCTTCTCCCTGAATCCGCGCAGCCTCTGCCCGCGACTCGGCCTCAGCCTTGGCTGTCCCAGTGCTCTCTACCGCCATGCTGTTGGGGGGTAGACAGGAGGCGGAGTCAGGCAAGACCCAGGAGGAAGCTCCGCCCACCTGGGGGCCTGAGCCACTTTATAGCGCATGCGCGCTGTGTCTTTCTTCCTCTCTCACACCCACCACTGCCCCCACCAACAGCTCTTCCAAGACCCTCGCCCTCCCTCCCAGGCTTCCTCTTCTAGTCTCTACTCACCTCATGGCCTCGAGCTCCAAGAGTTGCTTGCGAGCCTTCTCGGCTTCCGACTGGTCCAGGATCTTCTGCCTCTCCAGCCGTCCCCGGGCTTCCTGCTCCAGTCTCTGCGCCTCGTGCCTGGAGGAGGAGCAGGGGCAGCTGAGACCCTGTGTGGGCCCGAGCTGGGGGAGCAGTGCCAAGGGCAGAGACCACCAGGCTACAGCGAGCCCGGGACAGGCCCTGCGCCCCAGAGGCACTCAGCATACACCTGGGCTGGCGTGGCTCGCGCCCGCTGCACACACCCGCAGCCCCAGGCCTGAGGAGGGCAGGGGAGCGCGCGCCCCGCTTTCCCCCAAAGGACCCTCCAGCGACTGCACAACCAACGACGATTTCACGCAGCGATGAGCTCCGTGGATGTGGTGAAAGGGGACCCAGCCAAGAGGGTGCCTCTGAGGTCAGTAAGAAAACGCAAGGCTCTCCAAGGAGGAGCTGCCTTGGAACAGCTTGCAGCGGCCCAGGGACAGTGCTTCCCAGGCGGCAGGATGGCTACTGCGAGAGGCCGCAGGTGGAACCGTGTGCATTTGAGCAGGGCTGCAACAGTCCCGCAGGGAGCAGAGTGCAAAGCGGGGTGCGGGGAGCTGGGCTGGACCCCACAGAGCCTGGAAGGCCATAGGAAGACCTTGGGTCTTTGCACAAGCAAGGTGCGGTGCGGCGCCTGAGTCACAACCTAAGCAGGTCACACGGGGGTTGGGGATATAGCTCAGTGGCACAGCGCCTGTCTGGCAAGCACAAGGTCCTGAGTGCGATTTCCGGCACCAAAAAACAAATAAAGATAAGCAGGCCACACTGTCTGCTGATAAAGAACTGGCTCCTCGCGGGGAGCCTGCGTGCCTTGGAGGTTCTCTTCGTCATCGTTTGAAGCTCTCGCGTTCACCATCTATTCGCTAAAACTTAAGCTTGAGGCCCCAGCAGTGGGTGATGGGGTACCCGGGGAAATCTGGGCAGCCGAGCCCCCAGGTGCCGCTCACTTGGCCGCCGCCTCCTGGGAGTTGGTGGTGATCTCAATGGCCAGCTGCACGCTGCGCTGTAGGGCGTCCCGCGTCCGCTGGTCCACAGGTTCCACAGACTGCACGTCCACGCTGCTGACCACCAGCCCGTTTTGGGGGAAGAAGGCCCGGTCCCTGGGTCTGGGCAGGGCCAAGCCATCGGGGCCCCTGGCCTCGGAGGTCTCAAAACCAAAGACGGCCGTGCGAATGATGCGGGCCGAGTTCTTATGGAAGTCATCGAAGGTGACCGAGGCCACAGCCCCCCGCACACGGGATGCGATGGCCTTGCAAGCGTCCCCCACGAAGTCGGGCACTGCGAAGAGCTTGGCTGCCTCCTGGGGGTCATTGCGGTTGCTCAGTTCGAAGTACCTGTGAGCAGAGAGGCCCAGAACAGGGGAGTTACTTCACCCTGGGAAAGGACAATTCTCTCTTCAATAGGACTTTAACACCCACCTTCTGCACCTGGACAGCATCCCCTACGATTCAGACACAGTTTGTGCCCAGTAAGACCCTAAAAAGCCTAACAGTTGTTCCCATTTACCTCTCGGCCAACCTTGGCGGTAGGGACAAACATTCTTCCCATTTTACAGCAGAGGAAACAGGAGAGGTTAAGGGGCCCAAGGTCACCCCGTATATGGCGAGCCAAAAAGCTGAAGCCAGGCAATCTGGCCCTAGAGTCTGTGCTCTCAACTACAAAGCTACTGTGCCCTGGACTATGCCAGCACCACGTGCCCTTGTCACAGTGCTGGTGACCACTCTCAGCCGGGGGGGTGAGGCCCACCTGCTCGGGAGTTGGTGAGCTAGCTAGGTAGCTGGTTTGCTCGCTCTTTCTTTCTTTCCCTCCCTCTCTCTCTTTCTTTCTTTCCCCTACCTCTTCCTTTTCTTTCTTTTTTCTTTTTTCTGGTACTGGGAATTGAACCTAGGGCCTTCACACTGAGCTAAATCCTATGTCTCTAACTTGCACAGGGTGGGTTTGAATTTGAGATCCTCCTGCCTCAGCCTTCCAGAATGCAGGGATTACAGGTGTGTGCCACTACACCCATTTCCTCTTTCTTTTCAGTTTTGAGACAAGGTCTCACTAAATTGCTTGGGGAGGGCTCAAACCTGAAATCCTCCTGCCTCAGCTTCCTGAGAAGCTGAGACTACAGGCACGTACCACCACCCTGGGCATCAACCACTGATCTGTTAAAAGCATTCCAGGGATACAGCTGGCTGAACACAAACTGCGAGTTCAGCTGGGGTAGTGTCCTGCTACTGGATCCCTGAATTCCTGGTGCCAGGAGGTGAGCCGGCATCTTCCTTAGACGTCACGAACTCCTAGCCTTTTTCTTTTCCAGTGCTGAGCATGCGACCCAGGGCTTCCGGCATCCTAAACCACTGAGCTACCCTCCAAGCCTCCAGCTTCCTTCTTGACCAGGGCATCGAATCCTGATCTCACAGATTCGATGCTCTGACCTCGTGAGGCGCATCTCCTCCGAGAGGTTCCCTGGCACTGTGCCCGCAGCAGCCCTTGCCAAGGCCCCAGGCGCAGCCCTCACCAGTTGTAGGCGAGCTGCAGCTGCAGCCTGGCATGATCCGCTGTCTCGATGGTGATGACATCTGTGAAGAAGTCAGGCCCGAGCAGCAGGCAGAGCGCCCGGCGGGCGTGGGGACGTTTGGGCCGCCCTGCCGAGAGGGACAACACAGTGAACTGCTCCTCAGGACCCAGCGACACCATTTCCGGCCCAAAGACCACGCTGCAGAGAGAGCCGGAGGTCAGACATGCACGAGCGGACAGCGCCCCCCGCCCAGTGGCCGGCCGCCCCTGTGCCGTGGCTCACCGGGCCCGCTTGGCTCTGTAGTCGTACACCTGCACGGCTGCATTGTGCGGCGCGCGGTACCTGACCACATGGGTCTTATTCCGGACAGCCGGGGGCTGAGGGGCACCGGTGGTGTCCATCATGCCCCTGTCGGCCAGGGGGTCCTGCGCCTTGTTCAGCAGCTCCTCCACCCCGGGAGGCAGCTCCTTCTCCCACAGGACCTCGTCCTGGCTCAGCATGTAGGTGCTTCCGATCACAGCGCGCACCTTGAGGGACAGGGACGGGGTGGGGGCGTTACAGTGGGAGGGAAGGCCGGGAGCAGCCCGCAGTGCTCTGCAGAACTGGCTGGCAATGGGGGTGCAGCTTCGCGGCTCAGCAGTTTCTGCAGCAACAGCAAAGCTGGCCTCCACCTGGGCTCTGCCATCTGCTAGCTGTCACCTTGGGCAAGCTGCCTCCTTCCTGTGCGTCACTGTCTGTAAAGCGGACTAGACGGTGGTACCTCACCTTGATAGGAATTTCGTACGCATAGTTCAAAGAACAGCACTTGATACATGGTGAGTGTCTGATATTAATTCTAGAATCTTTCTTCCTGGGGTGGCTGGGAAAGTGTCACAGAGACAGATGCCAGAGTGGTGGGATTACAGGCCTGGCTCGGGGGAGAGGTTCCTACTGTCCCAAGGTCATGCGCCAGGGAGACCTCTATACTGGTACCAGATCTGCGGTGGGGCAGAACCTCCACCCTAAAACCTAGCTCATCCTCTCAGCTGAGTTTTTCAAATTTGAAGTTTGATATTTAAGACAAAGAGATGACAAATTCTCCATGGAATGTCTCATTCAGGTACATGCTCTTTTTCTTTTTTTTTCTTTGTCTTTCTGAGACAGGGTGTCGCTACGCAGTTCAGGCTGGCCTTGAGCTTACTTTGTAGCCCAGGCTGGCCTCGAACTCGCAAGGATCCTCCTGCCTCAGCCTCCCGAGTGCTGGGGTTACAGGCGTGCGCCGCCACGCCCGGCTCCAGGCAGATGCTCTTGTCCATGCTGCTCAAGTTCCCTTGCCAACCTCCCCTCAGACCTGTCCCCATCACCATCCCCGGCTTGGCCAGAGGAAGCCACCACCGCGCACCCAGCAGCACAGCGGCCCATCCCCCAGCTGTCACCTTTCCAGTCTTGATGTCCTGCACATAGATGCCCTCGTTCTCATCCAGAGGGATGGCCTGGCGCTCTTCCACCACCTCCACCTTGGCCGACGGCACGTATTCCAGGGGCCCTCGGATGAGCCAGTGGTCCCCGGCCTGGTGTGGGCCCTCCTCGCCCTCCTCCCCCTCCTCCAGGGACTGCAGCGCCCTCAGCAGCAGTCCCTGCTGCTCAGACAGCACGTACACGTCCTGGATGCCTCGCTCCAACTTCTCGCCCGGCTGCAGGAAAAAAGACTTCTCGCCCTGAGGGGAAGACGGAGGGAGTGGGTTAGGAGCAGCTGCCGCCCAGGGTCAAGGTGCCTCCGACGGCACCTTCCCAACCCGAGGCATGCGTACCTCCCCACGTCACAATGTTCTTCAGACTGTGAAGATCAAGACAAGTGCTAGGAGAAGCTTATTGGATCAAACATGCCCCCTCCCACCTTTCCCCCACTTTCTTTGGGGTACTGGGGAGTGAACTCAGGATCTTCACACTGAGCTACATCCCCAGTCCTTTTTCTTTTGAGACAGGGTCTTTCTAAGTTGATAAACTGCCCAACTTGCCCAGGCTGGGCTCAAATTTGAGATTTCCCTGCCTCAGCTTCCCAGAGTGCTGGGAGTACTGAGATGTGCTACTGCTCTCAACTTTCAAACATGTCTTTAGAAGATTCTGGGCCGGGCATGTAGCTCAGCCACATAAGCACCTGCCTGGCAAGCACAGGTCCTGAGTTCAATTCCTGGTACCAATAAAAAAAAAAAAAAGATTCTGTACACTGTCAACACCTGGATCCTCATTAAACAGTTAGAAATGAACTTACAACCAGGTGTAAAGGCTCAGGTCTATAATCCCAGCTAGCTGGGAGATGGAGGTGTAAAAGGATTGCAAGTTAGAGCTCAACCTGGGAAGTTTAGGGAGATCCTGTCTCAAAATAAAACTTTAAACGGGCTCGGGATGTAGTCCAGTGGTAGAACACTGTCCTCGCAGGTACAAGGCCCTGGGTTCAGTCCCTAGCACTAAAAAAATGCATCTATTCACAATGACACCATTAACACTTAAGGTGAAGGATCTGCTCATTACCCTACCTTGATCATCGTATATTTATGCATGTATGAAAATGTCACATTATGTGGCCCACCTTTATAATCCCAGCACTCGGAGAGGCTGAGGCAGGAAGATAACATTTCAAACCCAGCCTGGACAATGCAGCAAGCCCCTGTCTCCAACTAAGGCCTGAGGATGTAACTCAGCCCAAAGCACCTGTATTCTATCCCCAGTGTCACGCACACCACACCACACACACACACACACACACACACACACACAACGCCGTACCCCATAAATATGGACAATTATTGTGTCAATTTGTTTTCCAGCACAGAGGATGGAACCCAAGTATACCCTACCAGTCAGTTACATACCCAGAGCCCTTTTTATTTTTTACTCTGAGACAGACAGGCACTTGCACTAAATTGCCCAAGGTGGGCTTGAACTTGTGATCCTCCTGCCTCAACCTCCCCAGTGCTGGGATTTCAGGCCCCCACCCAGACTTCAATTAAAAATTTTAAAATACATACTTAAAAATTAACTGTTTCTCTTCATTTTTCCCGTGCTTTCTTTTCCAGGATGATATAATTTCTTTCTTTTTGAGGGGTGGTGGTGGTGGTGGTGGGTAATTCCAAAGTTGGGCCAGGCATGGTGGCTCACGCCTGTAATCCCAGTACTCAGGAGGCTGAGGCAGGAGGATTGTTGCGAGTCTGAGGCGAGCCTGAGCTACAAAGTGAGCTCAAGACCTACCTGAACTGCATAGGGAGGCCTTGTCTCAAAAAACAAAAACAAAAACAAAAACTAAGGTTGGGAAAGTCTAGTTCTTGGGCCAAATCTGCCCCGCCACCAATGTTTTCAAAATACAGACATTTTTCCTCTGTATCTGTGGGTGACTGGTTCCCGGATACTGCCACTCCCATGGGGAACCCGAAATCCATGGATATTCAAGTCCCTTACATAAAATGGTACAGTAAACCATACCAGGCATGGTGGCACATGCCTATAATCTCAGCACCTGGGAGGCTGAGGCAAGAGGATTTCCATGAGTTTGAGGTCAGCCTGGGCTATATAGTGAATTTAAGGCTAAAACTAGCCTGAACTACAAAACAAGACCCTGTCTCGAGAAATAAAAATAGAACTATATATTGATATATATATGT